TAAGACTTTATTGAATTACAAGTTCTCTGATTAAGTGATAAATGAATCAGTCTTGAATATGTAAATTATAATTTATCTCATTAAAGGTACTTGGATGATAAATTATGAGGATACTTCGATTAGGTAAAATTACGAAATTACCCTTAAAGGGAAAATTAGCCCGAATTGACCCTGAATAAAAAAGTACTCAAAACGTCATGCCTAAATCGATGAATTACTAGTTCCATCGTTAAGTTCACACGTTTATATAGAAAATTCTTGATAATCCGTAAATCTCCGAGTTATGAGTAAATACCTAAAGACTAATTTATAGTTGGTGCTCTTTTGACAAAATTGTTCAAAATGACTGAAATAAATGATAAGTTTGAATTTGATAATAAGATCAGATGAAAGGATAATGAATTGACCAGTCAACAAGCATTAGTTCTGGGAGTTATTCATCTGGAGTTGTTCGATAATCCAATCAATCGACATAGATTGTAAATGTTCTGAACCTTCGTTCTTCCTTATCAGATCAAACCACTCTGGACATGTATGAAAACACAAGTAACTTAAATGTAAAGGATTCTGAATACCCTTATGATTACGTAGAGCTTCCGAAAAATGTCCGCACAAGATGATCATGATAAATCATATTTTGAATAACTGATGATTCTGTCAGTTAATGAACTCTCCCAATAGTGATTCTAACTTCCGACATTCTATCAGTAAACTGAGATCCGTGTTTCTCCGCCCGATAAGATTATCCAATATCTCTGAATAATATCTGGAAACTCTAGTGTGTTCCCTACTCACATGAATATTTTATCTATTTTTTATTTGAATTATGTTCTGACATCTTATCTGAAATATGTTCTGATTCCTGACTTGGATTCTGTTCAGATATCTGATCTGAATTATGTTTTGTTTCCTGATATCTCCGTTTATTGATGGAAAATATTTTATTTGGGGGTATTATTGAAGGGTTTATATATGCAGGTTCCTCGGCTTTATGCTTAGGGACTTAATGTTGTGCAGGGGGTGATATTTGCAGGTTCCTCGGCTTTGTGCTCAGGGCCTTACTGTTGTGTAGGGGGTGTATGGTTTTGTGGAACCTACACATTATGATGTGTTCGGTTGGAGGGATTACTATGGTTTTTGATAAATAAAAATATTTTTTAAAAAGATCTATATCTTTTCACTAGTTTTGAGGGAACACACTAGATAACCCATTCTGATCTCCTGAACTCAGTCATCCGAAATATTTCTCTGAACTGAAAGCTCACTGTCTGATACTACTTGAAATATCAGTAGGATTTTCACTCAACATAAAGATCTATAGATGTGTGAATCGATAAGGAAATATATGTTTATCTGTATCTGCACGTTCTTCAGCATCATCTAGTAGTTCAGGTTAAACGAATCGTACCAGTGCATCTATCGACATCAATAAAGAAGTTCTTCCTGCGTTTCTTGCAGAGTATGGTACATATGATTAAGGGGCATGTAATTGTATTTTGTTTTATATACAAGTCTAAAAATATGTTTTATTTCTGAATACTGATAAAATTTATTTTGTATTCATAAATCATTTTATGAGTTACATGTTTTGACAAAAGTTTTAAATTTTCCGAGTTTTTACAGTGGGTCGCTCCAGTGACCCTAATGTGACACTCCAAATCGGATCGGGTTACCTGCATCGGTCTGAGGGGGTTATATTTAGTGGTATCAGAGCTTAGGTTTTAGTCAAAAAAAATCCAAATAGACCGGCCGGTCGAATTTCAAAAGATGTCTGATTAGTACATGCCCCTAGACTATAATCGTACTTCTCTAAGCCGAAACTCCAAGGTTGAGTCCCTATCTGTAACGAGCAAACCAAAGTTTTTATCAGTTAAGGCTCTACCTTTGTATAAAGGAATATCAGTAACGTCTATCTAAACTCTGTAAAGTACCTTACGAGTAATGTGAGAGTTATTCAATCGATTCTAACCTGACTCTGGAAATGAATTTAGGGGCTAAAATTTAAGAAATTATAAAGTATTAGATTTAATGATATTTTGGAAGAAATTGAGGATTAAATTGTAAAATCTCAAAGATAGAACACCATTTTATAAAGTGTAGGAAATTTAGTGACTAAACTCATAGTTTAACCATTTTTCTTTTGGAGAGAACTATAAGCATCTCCCTTATATGTTTTCTGTAGATTTCTCCTCATTTTCCTCCTCTGGTCAACCCACTTTGAGCTCCGATCTATTCAACATTCGGCCAATGTTCGATAAACCAAAACCACCATCGTGTTCCTTGTCGACCGAAGAACAAAATCCCTCAAACCTTTTATCGTGAATCGACGTTGTTTGTAGTAAATCTTAATCGGAAGTATCGTAGGTTTTCACTCAATTTCCGTTGTTTTTCATCGATTCACGTCGATCCGGCCACCCGATTTTTACACCTCCCTCACCATCGTGTTCTTTTTATTGATCTGATTTCACCGGTGCCCTTTTCGTCTCCGTCGTCGCCGGCGCCTCTATGAGTGTGGGAGGTTCGAAAACAGTTGTGGCAATTGTCCCGGTTTGACCCAACCCATTTGACCTAGTTTGACCAGACCGTTGACCCGACCTGACCCGTTGACCGACTGTTGACCGACTGTTGACCATTGACTTTGACCGAAAAGTTAAATTTTTTGAAAAGTCATATTCTATGTATTTCGACGTCTTGAGTCCAATTCCGAAGTCCGTTTTTCCAAATTTGAATCCGAAAGCCTCGAAATTGTTAGTCAAGCCCGTTGACTTTAACTTGGACCAAAAAAGTTAAAATTTTCGAAAAGTCGTATTTTATGTTTTTCGACGTCCTGAATCCGAATCCAAAGTATATTTCACCAAATTTGAACTCGTTAAGTTGTTTTCCCTAATTTATCACCCGATTCGATCTGTTTTTCGTAATTAAGCTCCATTTTTTATGAAATTTCTGTAGATATGTATCCGAAGAATTATTGGAAGTTGATTTCAAGATCGAGGGCTTTCGAATAGAATTTATATGGTCGATCAGTATGGCATAAAAATCGAGGTAATACATTACTACCTCTTTAGGCTTTATGGAACATGTTGATGATGGATAAATGCATGAATGTATATGATTGGTCTATTATGCATGTTTGGTTATGGATGGACTCGAACCAGATACAGTTTAAGTGATAAATTAGTTAAGACTTTATTGAATTACAAGTTCTCTGATTAAGTGATAAAGAAATCAGTCTCGAATATGTAAATTATAATTTATCTTATTAAAGGTACTTGGATGATAAATTATGAGGATACTTCGATTAGGTAAAATTATGAAATTACCCTTGAGAGGGAAAATTAGCCCGAATTGACCCTGAATGGAAAAGTACTCAAGAAGTCATGCCTAAATTGATGAATTACTAGTTTCATCGTTAAGTTCACACGTTTATACAAAAAATCCTTGATAATCCGTGAATCTCTGAGTTATGAGTAAATACCTAAAGACTAATTTATTGTTGGTGCTCTTTTGACAAAATTGTTCGAAATGACTGAAATAAATGATAAGTTTGAATTTGATAATAAGATTGGATGGAAGGATAATGAATTGACCAGTCGACAAATATTAGTTTTGGGAGTTATTCATCTGGAGTTGTTCGATAATCCAATAAATCGACATAGATTGTAAAGGTTCTGAATCTTCATTCTTCCTTATCAGCTCAAACCACTCTGGTCATGTATGAAAACACAAGTGACTCAGATGTAAAGGATTCTGAATACACTTATGATTACGTAGAGCTTCTGAAAAATGTCCGAACAAGATGATCCTGATAAATCATATTTTGAATAACTGATGATTATGTCACTTAATGAACTCTTCCAATAATGATTCTAACTTCCAACATTCTATCGATAAACTGAAGATTCATGTTTCTCCGCCCGATAAGATTATCTAATATCTCTGAATAATATCTAGAAACTCTAGTGAGTTCCCTACTCACATGAATATTTTATCTGATTTCTGATTTGAATTCTGTTCTGACATCTGATATGAAATCTGTTCTGATTCCTGACTTGGATTTTGTTCTGATAGCTTATCTGAATTGTGTTTTGTTTTCTGATATCTCCGTTTATTTACGGAAAATGTTTTATTTGGGTGTATTGTTTGAGGGTTTATATCTACAGGTTCCTCAACTTTGTGCTCAAGGCCTTATTATTGTACAGGGGGTGATATCTGCAGGTTCCTTGACTTTTTGCTCAGGGTCTTACAGTTGTGCAGGGGGTGTATGGTTCTGTGGAACCTACACATTATGATGTGTTTGGTTGGAGGGATTACTATGGTTTTTTATAAATAAAAATATGTTTTAAAAAGATATGTATCTTTTCACTGGTTTTGAGGGAACACACTAGATAACCCATTCTGATCTCCTAAACTCTGTCATCCGAAATATTTCTCTGAACTAAAGCTCATTGTCTTTTACTACCTGAAATATCAATAGGATTTCCGCTCAACATAAAGATTTGTAGATGTCTGAATCGATAAGGAACTATATGTTTATCTATATCTGCACATTCTTCAACATTATCTGGTGGTTCTGTATTACAGAGCTTTCCAAAGCTCACTCTATTACTCACCTTTTGAGGTTAAAAGAATCGTACCAGTGCATCTATCAACATCAGTAAAGAAGTTCTTCCGCATTGCTTGTAGAGTATGGTACATATGATTAGGGGGCATGTAATTGTATTTTGTTTTATATACAAGTCTGAAAATATGTTTTATTTTTGAATACTGATAAATTTTATTTTGTATTCATAAATCATTTTATGAGTTACATGTTTTGACAAAAGTTTTAAATTTTTCGAGATTTTTACAGTGGGTCACTCCGGTGGCCTTAATGGGACACTTCAGATCGAATCGGGTTACCCGCATCAGTCTGAGGGGGTTACATTATGGGTGTCGTGGCATCAACCTCGCAATCTAGTATAAGAAAGTACACTAGAAATACTAATTTATCCACCTTTACAATGACATCCTCGACTCATCCCTCGGGACGAACATGGGAGCGGTCAACAAGTTGCAAGATAACAGAGGTGGGTATCAGATTTCCTATTCCAAGCTTCATGAAGATTAAGTTAGGCATTAAGTTCACACTTGATCCAAGGTCATATAGTGCCTTCCCAATATAATTTTCTCTTATCGAACATGAAATGATAAAGCTGCCTGGATCTTGTCGCTTTGGCGGTAGCTTGCTTAAGGCAAAGTGGCAACTTTCTTGTACTTCTCAACTTTTCTTTTCTTAGTAAAAATCTCTTTGAGGAATTTAACATATGTCAGCATTTATTCTATAGCTTCAAGAAAATGAACATTGATGTGAAGTTGGTCCAAAATGTCGACAAACTTCTTGAATTGAATGTCATCATTATGTTTCTTCAGTCTTTGTGGGAAAAGAGGTGGGGATCTAACTTCCTTTAATAAAGGGATAGGAACAACATTTGTCGTGGCATTTGTGTTTGCTCTCTCAGTTGTTTTACTAGATGAACCCTCATCCTTATCATCTTCCACTTGCACTTTTTCAGGTATTTCACGCTCAGCTTGCACATTTACAGGGGTAAATCATTCTTCGATCTTCCCCAAACTTGTCTTGAACATTGATTTGGGTGCCACTCCATAGAGTGAGTACACTGCATTACTCTTTTCCATTAGGTTTTGTGACTTCAGTGTCACTCGGTAGACGACCTGATTTACGTTCTAGTAATGTCGCAACAATTTGACAAACTTGACCCTCTAACGCCCTCATAGATGAGTTGTGGATTTGAAGTAAAGCTCCTTGGTTTTTTTATGGAGGTCACATAGTCTTGCAACATGGTCTTCGTGGTTGCTATAAACTCTTACATTATGGCCTCCAAAGAACTTATGTTAGATAAAGATGACACTCCCTTTTTAGAATTATGCCATGGCATATTCGTTTGAAAACCTTGAGAGTCATTAAAATTCTGCTGACGAACGAGCTGACTAGCATTGTTGGTTCCTTGATTTCCCCACGAGAAGTTTGGATGTTAACGCCATTCAGGATTATAGGTGCTAGAATAGGGGTTGTTGTTGCCTCAATTATAGTTTCCTACATAGTTGATAGATTCCTAATTGGTCAGGCACTCGCTCTCATGGTTATTTTCATGGCATAATAAACATGCCGAATTGGTTGTCTTCACTTCTTTCATCTCACTTGGTCTTTGCAAATTCTTTAACATATTGGTGATAACAGTAAGTTGGGCGGATATAATCCTTAGTGTCTAACTCAAATGCTCCATGTGATTTTACCCAATTCTAAGCCTTGTAGATGGGAATTGATAATAATTATTGGCAATCCTGTCCAGAGTGTCAAATGCCTCTGCAGATGATTTATCAAGCAATGTCCCATTTTTCGAGGCATCTAGCATCATCCTTGTGGGCGTATTTACTTCGTTGTAGAACATTACCACTTGAGTCCAATCTTGAAAACTATAATTTGAACATTTGCAAAACAATCCTTTATACCGATCCCAACATTCATATATTGATTCGTCATCAGCTTGACGAAAGAAGCGATGTCGTTCCTCAGTTGAGTGTTCATGTTTGGTGGATTATATCACAACAAAAAAACTTTTGCACAGATTAGTCCAAGACTCCATCGAACCCGTTGGAACATTACTCAACCAAGCCCTTGCTCGGTCATGCAGAGAATATGGAAATAACTTTAATTTTAATACATCTTTGTGCACTCCTTATTGACGGAAATAATCGCACACCTCCAAGAAGTTACGAATATGTTGTCTGGCATCTTTATTTGGCATGCCCCCAAATTGCCCTATAAAATTTAGCATATTGAACATGACAGGTTTGAGCTTGAATGGGTTGCCTAAATCTCGAGTGCCACAATTCATGGATTTAAGTCTTCCAAGATAGGATTAAAGTGATCACGAATGGCACGAGGTCTGGATACATTCCCAGCATTTAAAATTGTCTCGATATTTGATCTTCATCATGACCAATACCTTGAGTTCCAACTTGATACATGTTTGCACGTTGAGCACGTCTTCTTTACCTAAACAGCCTCTCAATCTTATGTTCAATTGGTTCTAATGGCTCGTTAGAGTGTCTTCTAGTCATACACCAAGAAAACCTGAAAAAGATAAGGAAAATAATAAGTAAAACTATATATAAAAACTGATAAAGTAAAATAAAAATGCTATGAAAAAACTAATTAAATTCCAGTTGCCAATCCCCGGTAACAGCGCTAAAAACTTGTCCGCGAATTGTGACAACTAAATATGGTCGCGAAAATATGTGCAAGTATACACAATCGAACAAGTAATACAATGATAAGTGAGTATCGTATCCACATAGATTGGAGGAAATTTATAAGCTCAATCGCAACAATTTACTATTTCACTTAACTATAGTTAGTAATGGTATATACAAATGAGAATGCTGTGGAAAAATGAAATAAATTTGATGGGAATGGAATGATGGTGTAATGGAATATGGTAGCAAATGGAAATGTCATGGAAAGGTGGATGGAAATGTCTTGGTAAAATTAAATTGAGTGTAGGGAATCAATTGAAAATGCAAAGATAAAACAAAATGTAAACACTGGATTTGATTAAAATGACTTTAGACTCCTTACACAACAAGCCACTATGGGAATGAATGATAGAAGTCACTTAGGAAACTTAAGTCTATGTTTTCAGGATGGTCTTACTTCTATGCCTTACTTGCCCGACAGAGTTTACTAAGGGTGCCCTATGCTGTCTCTAGTCAAGGGAGTAGACAAGTTTAGGATGCCATGGCAAAACCTATTAGCGTTAGAAAGTGCAGGGATCCTCTTTGTTCAGATAACAGAATATGTCACGGCAATACCACTTAGCGGCAGCACTAACATCTAACATCTTGATCGAGCACTACTCCTTTTAGTCGATTGAAATCCTAACCTTATGTCTAAGGTTGGATTAGGCCTAGTTACTATCTAGAACCCCTTGCTTATGTGGATCCTCCCTAGTTTCTCTCGAACACTAAGGATATGCTACTTAATCGTTCTCTCGAACACTAAGCAATCTCTTAAGGAATGACTACTCTCATAGCTCCTACAACCTTAAGGCATTAAACATCGTAAACAAAACAAATAACAACATACAAAAACAACCATCCATTAAAATAAAACTTAAATATCCATAAGGAACTCCCACCAAATAATACTAGCTCATGGTGGGGTTCGAATATTCCAAACAACAATGCATGAAATTAATTTGTTCATACAACCCAAATGAGATAAAAGAGAGCAAACAACAAAGAGGTAGAGGAAAAGCCTTCGACGTGCACTGTCGGAGCTCCCCTCGGCCACCACGAACTGCTCTAACTCGCTAGCTCCTCTCGGACGCCTAGCTCGCCACTTCCTTTAGCTTGTTAATGGAAGAATGCCACGGCAAAAACGACTGACGAAAAAATGAGAGACATTTTGCTCTCTAAAATTAAGCTCAAGCCGGCGTGTGTCTAGTCTCTCTCTTTTGGTAGCTTCATCTCCTATATATGGGGAGAATAAACCTAGGAATTTGTGTTAAAATTCCTAGGATACCCCGATCAGATTCCTTTAATGTGAGGGGGTGAGCAGTTGTGGTAGTGGTCCCCTCCAGGGCAGCTGGGCGTGGTCCCATCCTGGATAGCTTTCAGCTGGGCGTGGTCCCGACAGAATCAGCTGACCCAAGTGGCAGATGTTCCCTCCTAGGTGACTAGCAGTTGAGGGCACGTGAAGACAAGGACAAATGGCTCTCGAAAATATCATCTTTCATCTTTTCCACTTCCAAAGTGTTGTCTGATTTGGCATTTGCATTTTACTCAGCAGTCTCATCATGTCACGACAATTCGCTTTTTCTTATCGTTACTCCAAATCCTGCACATCATCAAACAAAACACTTTCCTCATAACGCAGCACCGTTTACAAAATAAAATACCTCGACAAAATATATTTCCACCACATGCAACTATATGCTCTTAAATGCACCTATATGATCTTATATGAGCTCTTAGACATTCAATAACTTAAGTGAAAATGCCCTAAATATGACCTTTTCGCGGAGTTATCAATGATCTCATAATTATGAATAATTTTAAGATGAGATCTATAACATTTTTTTAAGGATGTTGAGTTTGGAGGGAAAAATTAATAAGGTTTACGAAAATATTTTTAAAGAGGAATTGAATTATAACTTAATTCTCAATATCACTTATGATAATATACATGTGTTTATAATTGTTGTTAATCAAAAAATAATTATAGAATTGAGTTATAATCCAATTCTCCCTCAAAAACAATTTCGTAAACCAAATGTGAGATCAAACGATATTATTCTTTCATGAGGTTTTTAAATTGAATTTACGAAGAAAAAAGGGATCAAGTGTGAAATAATTTTTCCTTTCGACACTTGCCCTTGGTTAAGATTGTAACCAAATGGTACACAAATCTACACAGATTCCATAGATGATGTAATGTTGATTGAAATATTGTCGGGTTGTGTTGTATTTTTACAATTTTAGGACACATATTTTTATTTTTTTCCTATTTTGTATGTATAGCAATGAGATTAGCTGTAATTTCCAAAACATGGTAGCTTCTGTCTTCAAGTCAATCATTAACTGATAAAGGAGGTTAACAACTTCAAGCTAGTATTTTACCCTTTTTTTTACCATTTTTTTCAATTGCTTTTGTGAAAACAGGCTGCAATTCTTATTACATTAGGATATAAATATGGAATCTATTGATGATTTTGAAAGTCTGGAATCTGGATGACGGTTAATTCATTAAGGATTACTCATATCTGCAATTTTTTCTTTGTTTTTTTTTTGGATTAAAAAATTTGGCAAAAGAATAACTGTTGTCACTATAGTAGATTTAATTTATCACTTTCGCATAAATTTAGTCCTCGAAATTACTCAATTGCATCATTCTATAACCTTACTCCCAATTTAAAATCCTAAATTACAAACCCTAAACAATAACTTAGAGTTTATCATTTAGGGTTTTAAGCTAGAGAAAGAGTGTAGAATAATACAATTAAATAACTTTGAGGGTTAAATTGATGTAAAAAATACTATAGAAATAAAAATGATAAATTTAACCTATTATAGAGACAAATGTGACCCTTAAACAAAAAAATTCAATATTTTGTCAGTTAAACCCACAATTAGTATGGTGACAAGGGACCCGATTCTTTGCGTACTGGACTGTAAGTAAATAAAACGTTTTTTCACATGAAAACAATAGAAAAAAATCTGCAAATTAATTCAACCATTAGAACAATTTGTCTTTATTTGCAGAAAGGTTCATATAAGACAGTGGTTTCGTTCAAACAAGCTCCCAAGTTGTCCTTAAAGAAGCTGTTGAGCCTGTGTCCAGCGAGTTTGGTCCACAGTTTTATATCACTGTTGCCATATACATAGCAACATTAACCTTTTTTCTCACTTTTTCTTCGGTTCAACAATAGTTGTGGTATCTTTAATTCTTTACCATTTTAAAATCAAAGATCTAATTCCTCTTCTTTAATTTGATATCACTTACTCTCTACTTTTATAATTATTGTTATAGGATTATTAATCTATTCAAATTAATAACAACATTAGTTAGTGTTAAAATGGCGACGGTGATTACTGTACAAGTTTAAACATTCGACTTATATATAGGGACGGCTGTAAGACTTTAAGTTAGAAAAGGCAAATTTGAACTTATAAAATTTTATGGATGCGAAAACATATTTTCAATAAAAAAATACATAGAAAAAATCTAAAATATATAGTAATTTTAGATTTTTAGAGGGCGACCACTCCTGCCCAGGTCCATCCTTGCTTATATATAAAAATGTTATTAGTTAAAATAACTTGTTCATTTTTCACATGAACTAATTATTTGAATTTCAATAGTAACCTACGACTATTAAAAGCTATAAAATGATCTTTCGATTATAATGTATTGCTTTATTGAGTCCTCTGACTATTAAAATTTATAAAATGGTTACTCAATTATTTTATGTTCTAAACTCATCTTTTTCCGTTAAAAACTTGATTTTCGTTTTAGTTAGATGTTATCTTGCTAACTATGCTATGACAGTCTTTTGAGATTATAAAATCATATTTTATCATATCTTAGTCAATATATTTGCATCCACCTTAGACTGCAGTCAATTTTTTTCACATAAAATGAGTTTGGAACACATGATTAGTAGGGTGTCCATTTTATAACTTTTAATAGTCGAGAATTATTAAAAGCAATGTCCTATGGTTAGGGGACCATTTTGTAACTTTTAATAGTATGAAGACTCAAAAAATAACATCCTATAATTGAGGGGCCATTTTTGTAGGTTACCCTATAGATTATCATTTTTATATTTGTAGTGATAGTAGCTGATAAATAAAAATTAGCTGTCGTTTCCAAACATCATAGATTCTGTGTGCTGTAGAAGATTGTAAGACATATCTCTTCCTTCTTATAACTTTTGAGGGAGTGAAGAAAAAAGGCCGAAAATTCTAGTCTTTTCACGATACTGGTTTTCTCATATTTGAGTGATGGAGCTAACGGAAGAGTTAATTTGAAAGAAGTTGATCGGAAATTAAAGCAGCTTAACAAGCCTGCAGTGAAGACCATACATGTATTTTCTTTACCATATATTATACACGATACAATTACATCTTTTGAACGTTGAAATGGGCTTGGCAGAGTGAAGATGGAGATATTATTGACTGTGTTGATATCTACAAACAACCTGCTTTCGATAACCCTGCGTTGAAGAACCATGTTATCCAGGTGATTTTTTTTTCATCACTCAGTTTCGTTCTTGTTTGTAGTTATAGTGGTTTTGGACTTAACTAATGCTATTGAACACATAGATGAGACCCAATTTTGATTTCAAAGAAGAGAAACGAAGCACGAAGAACGAGTCATCGAAGCTGGCACTACAAGAAAATTTTAAATTACCGATGAAAATTTTCCGACAGATTTAAAATCTATCAAAAATTACCGATGAAAATAAATGATTCCGTCACAAAATTATGACAATCTTGTAATTTTCGACCGAATTAGTTTTTCCGTCATAAAGTCTATTCATTTCAATAAAAAAAATATCAATTTAATTTATGACGGGACAATGATTCCGTCGGAAATTGTGTTCAACTTTAAATAAAATATATCAATTTAATTTGTGATGGAATAATCATTTCGTCGGAAATAAAAAAAAATATCAATTTAATTTATGACGGGATAATGATTCCGTCGGAAATTTTGTTCAACTTTAATTAAAATATACCAATTTAATTTGCGATAGAATAGTCATTCTGTCGGAAATAAAAAATATACATTAAATGTTAGCTACCCATTTCTTCTCAATTGTTTTAAAAAATTTCTGTGTAATTAATACACATTAAATGTTAGCTACCCGTTTGCTTTAGATGGTATTCCCCCAAGAACGTCAAGATGCTAATGAATTTAGTAATGTCACAACAACAATGATACTCTCATACGTTTTTCGAAGCAAACTATAATGGACAATTAGGTCGTAAAACGTTATTTCAATCAAATATTATATATCATTATAATTATTATCAATCAGAAGTTTGTTTTCAACTAATTATTTGTTTTTTAAGTTTCTACCCTTCGATGCATCGTCCTCCACTTTATCCAGGGTTCAGTACCATACAACCTCTTATGCGTCCAACTTTCAGAGGCTCAACTAGCACTTCGATGCCTTTGCACCCACAAACGAGAGGTAGCACACCTTTGACACCTTTTGTCCAGCCACCCAACAATTAAGAAGAAGATTATTATCCGATTCCTCCATCACAACAATGCAATGAGGATAATGCTTCTTGAATTTCATATGATATTTATTTTTAGGTTTCCAACTTTACTTCAAGTTTTTTAATCTTATCTGATGTTTTGTTGAATTGTAATACTTCTAATATATATTTGTTTCTTATCAATGAAAATACAACAAGGTTAATGCGCTTTTGGGAAATGAATATAAGTAAGCACAAGTAGTGTTCTTAGAAAGCAAAATGAATATTGATGAATGTTGGCTTGGTTTTGCTCAAACTTGATGTTTAAAGCTTACTCTATTGTATCTCTTGTTTTTCTTTATGTTTAAGGCTTTCTCAATTGTTTCTCTAGCTTCTCATATTCACCAATGGCTTCAAAAAAATTAATTAACAAACTTGTTTGGTATATAAAAATAGTAAAACAATTTTTTAAATTTGTGATGGGATATGTGGACCCATCACAAATTTGTGACGGAATATGTGGATCCGTCACAAATTTCTGACAGATTCAACTATTCGGTCAGAAATTTCTGACAGGTCCACATGTTCCGTCGCAAAATTTTGAGTTTCTCACCCGGCCTACCCTTGTTTTTCAATTTCCTTCCAATTAAACATCAAATTTAAAAATTTACCCGCTTTTCCCCGTATTTTCTCCTATTTAAACCTTTTTAAACTCAATCTTCTCTCATTTCCTTCATTTCATCTCTTCTTAACTTTTTTTCTCTCTAAAAGTTCTCTTAATTTCATCCTCTTTATTATCATCAACTATCAATATTAATGTAAGTTCTAATTTTGTTTAATGTAATTTTTCTTAATACATACTTTATTTATTATATTATTTTTTTATTCACTAACATCTTTCATTATATTTTGTAGGTTAAAAACTTTTAAATGATAATAACTCTTTAGTGTACAAACTTTGTATTTTACTTTTTCTTTATTATTAAATATTGTATTTTTTATGTATAGTGTACAATCATATATTTATATTTATTAGAAATATTGTATTGTGAAATATATGTTGTAAAGTCATGTTTATCTTAGTTAATATGATGAATTTAATTTTGTATCATATGTTATTATTTTCTTATTAAGGCATTATCAAAATACAATATGGACTTGTTAGTATTATTATTACTATCTAATTTTTTTAATTAATGTAATTATATTATTATTAGTTTTCGATCTTTTAATTAAATAAATAAAAATATGGATTCATTATATTTTTTTGGAGAGAATGTAATTTTTTTGGGTAGAATCCCGATAAATTTCCCTCTTTTTTTAAAAAAAAATTAAGATTTAAATTTCCGACGGACAACATATAATCCATCGGAAATTAAAAATTCATATTTTCTTTATATATTTTTAAATATCCCGAAGGAAAACATATGTTTATCGGAAACATAAAATATAATATTTTATTTATATATAACATTCCAACGGATTTTAAATTTTTATCATCAACTATCAATATTAATGTAATTTCTAATTTTGTTTAATGTAATTTTTCTTAATTCATACTTTATTTATTATATTATTTTTTATTCACTAACATCTTTCATTATATTTTGTAGGTTAAAAACTTTTAAATGATAATAACTCTTTAGTGTACAAACTTTGTATTTTACTTTTTCTTTATTATTAAATATTGTATTTTTTATGTATAGTGTACAATCATATATTTATATTTATTAGAAATATTGTATTGTGAAATATATGTTGTAAAGTCATGTTTATCTTAGTTAATATGATGAATTTAATTTTGTATCATATGTTATTATTTTCTTATTAGGCATTATCAAAATATAATATGGACTTGTTAGTATTATTATTATTATCTATTTTTTTAATTAATGTAATTATTTTAATTATATTATTATTAGTTTTCGATCTTTTAATTAATTAAATAAAAATATGGATTCATAATTTTTTTTTGGAGAGAATGTAATTTTTTTGTGGTAGAATCCCGATAAATTTCTCTCCTTTTTTAAAAAAAATTAAGATTTAAATTTTCGACGGAAAACATATAATCCATCGGAAATTAAAAATTCATATTTTCTTTATATAATTTTAAATATCCTGAAGGAAAATATATGTTTATCGGAAACATAAAATATAATATTTTATTTATATATAACATTCTAACGGATTTTAAATTTTTCATCAGTAATATACTGGCGAATTTCCATAAGTAAACTTCTGACGACTTACTTTATTTCCTCGGAAATGTTGGCTTCCAACCAGCGTTTTACTTACACTCTATTTCCTCAGAAATTTCGTTAATAAACTTAAATTTCATCACAAATTCCCTCGGAAATTCTATCAGCAATTACATATTTTTTTGTAGTGTGGTGGTGCCTCGAACATGGCAAATAAGTGGAAGCTGTCCAGAAGGAACCATTCCGATTCGAAGAATTTGAAGGGAGGACTTACTGAGAGCGAATTCCATTGACGAATCCGTAAGCATATTTAAAGCTATACAACATTTTTTATTTCCAATTGCTTGACTTGGTAGCTTTTGTGAAACAGGCTGCAACTCTTGTTGCATTAGGATCCAGATACATAGGAGCTAAAGGAGATATCAATGTTTGGAATCCATCCATTGGATCAGATGGTGTCTTCACCACTGGTCAAATCTGGGTTAAAGGTGGCCCTGTTGATGATTATGAAAGCCTGGAATCTGGATGGATAGTTAGTTCATTGAACAATACAGACAAATCCTCTAACTTTTTTCCGTTTAAAATCTGTGTTTAGTCAAAGCTCCTGTCCAATAACATATATCAATTCATATATTTTGTCAGGTACACCCAGTTCAGTATGGTGACAAAAGGACCAGATTCTTTTTATACTGGACTGTAAGTTTTCATAAGAGGAAAAAAAGAGAGAAAATCTGCAATAAATTATATCATTAAAACTTTTTGTCATTATTTGCAGACAGGTTCAACCTCGACAACTGGTTGTTTTGACCACAATTGCGATGGCTTCGTTCAAATAAGCCGTGAAATCGCTCTTGGTGCAGCTATTGAGCCCTTGTCCAGTGAGTATGGTCAAAAATACTATATAACATTGGCATCTTTTATCATTATATTTCGATTTAGTAAGTTGAAACCATCAATCACTATTATCAAAATCATGTGAGATTGTTGATTTTCAGGATCCCAAACCAAACAATTGGTGGTTAAAATATGGGGACTGTATAGTTATAGGTATTGGCCAGCAGCAACAAGCCAAATGTTTTACTTGTACGACAGTCCTACACTGGTCCAATAGGGTGGAGTGGTTTGTAACAATAACGTGAAGAAAACGCCGCATACGACCACCGCCATGGGAAGTGGACAGTTTGGTGAGGCTTTATACAGGAAAGCATGTTACGTCAAAAATATTGCGATCGTGGATTATTATTCAGGGGATCTCCAGTATCCAAGGTGGCTGGGCACTTGGGCCGATGAAACTAACTGCTACACTGGTTCTTTTCACTTCCTAGATTTTTACTTTGGGGGACCTGGACGGTGTCCTAATTGTGATTGTCCCTGACTCCTCCAATATTTGTTGGTATTACAATATAATAAAGTGCTGTGGAAACCATAAATTAATCTTTTTATTATTCCCAAAACATATTTTGATATTTGAATCAACACAAAGTAAGATAACAATCAATTAATAGATTTCTTATATGATTGACTCCTTATAATAAGATTAAAACATAGGTCAAATTGTGTAAGTAACAATCTTATTAACTTGAACCTACCAAATCATGTGAAAATAATTTTCCTATTTTTTGAATTTGGTTTGTTGAGTTACTGATTTTCAGGATCCATAAACAAGCAGTTGGTGGCTAAAATCTTGGGATGGTACGCTGACTATAGGGTATTGGCCGACGTCAAGCCTACTTACTGTGAGGATGTGAAGCCGGGTTTTCCGATACCGGAGCTGGTTCCCATTGCTCTCTCCATATTGAATGAAGGTGGACGTCCTTTCTCTCTTTTATCTACGTCGCTCAATCCACCGAGGATGCCAACATCTACCAGTGAAACCTTACTGGATGCAAGGTTTTCACATGACAATGGAACAGTCAATAAAGATGCAAAATATTTGGCAAAGAGGAGGGACACTTACGAGCAGAGATATTAAGATCGATTATTCCACGACTCAGGGAATCTGCCCAAATGCCAGACTTCACCTGGAAAGTATCCTTCTTTTGAGGTGCTTTGGATTCTTGTGAGGGTTTTGTGTTTATGTTGTTGAGGTCGGACTTTGTGTTGCTTCTTTTGAAGCTGGATCAGGCTGAGAAGCGAATGAACCAAAAATATCTGATGATCCATCATTAGTTGGATTTTGTGCTGCTTTTTTTCAATCCGAATCAGGATGAGAAGTGAGTGAACCAAAAATGCCTGATGATCCATTAAAATTGTTCAGTGGAACAATCGCAAATGGATCAACAATGATAGCATTTCCTGGCTCAGACATTGGTACCATGGTGTCTTGTTGGACAACTGAACCAGTGACGGCAAAGAGGTCAACAGTTGAAGGGGCTGCAGGAGCAATGGCAAGCTGGGAAGCAAATAGATCAACCTGTTTCCGCTCATATGAGAAAAGGGAAGCTGATTTCAGCTCCACATAATCAAAGGATATGCCCTAATATAATGTCCAACTGAAAATCAGCTTGTATGATGCCTTAATGTTCCTTCACCTTGATTATATTGAATTTCAAGGTTTCACCTTGATTATATTGTATTTCTTGTTTCATGATAGGAACATTACATTGTTACATTCCCAAAAATTATATTAATGAAAAAGTCAGACCTGTGCCCGAGGACTTGATTCAGTTTGAGCTGACAAGAAAGTTGCATCAGCAAATAGATCAACTTCAGCTGAATTAGTATTCATAGCAGGAACAGGCGCTGGTTCATGAAAGATGTCATCAACCAAACTTTTTCCAAACAGATCCACTACGTTAGGAACTTCTGGTCGCTGGCTCTGCAAAAAGAATAATCAACAGTGTATTGGTAAAAGATATACAATCTAAAATCTATTACGGAGGAGGAAGGATCACAGAACACTTTTTTTAATCAATCCTCAGCCTGTTAATTGATGAACTAGCAGAAACAACATTTATAACATAATGATAAAGGGAAAACCTCCAATGAAGTATTCTCAACTTAAGATCCGAAATTTTTATCTTACTAGAATTAGAAGCTCCCCTGGGATCAAAATCATCATCATCATCATTACCTGTTGGGGAGCTTATGCTTTGACTGTATTTGGGGGAATCACTCAATTTTGGAGAGAGCTCATCCTTTGGATCCTTGCTGCAAAACAACATTACAAATATGATTTTTTTTCCTAATAAAAAGGTATTAAATGGTGAGGTGAAAAGTTGGAAATCTCTAATATGTGTATGTGTTAGGTTGCGAAAACACATGTATAAGAATGTGAAGATCATACTTTTTTCTCCATATCGATCCCTCTCTTTATAACTGTCTCTGTAGCTGTTACTTTCTCTTCTGCTACTTATACCTCCATACCTATCTCCACCGCCTTGGAAGCCTCCACTACTAAATGTGAAACCACTAGACTTAAAAGTGACACCAGTAGATGACAGGCCAATGTACCTAGAAAGACCGACGGCAACCCCAACTGCTTGTGAAATATCGGGTCTCGTATACATCATCCTTAGGTGACATAGATGCACCGATCTTGAAATGAGGAGCAAGAGGTGTACTAACTGGTTTTGACTTCTCATTCATGCCAAAACGTTTTAGTACATTCCTCAGATATTCTTTCTGAGACAAACAAAGTCTCCCCAATTTCTTATCCCTTGATATCTCAATGCCTGGAATCTTCTTCGCTTCACCAAGATCCTTCATCTCAGACTCCCTATTCAATTGAGTCTTTAGTTTCACAATTTCTGTCTGACTCCTAAAAGCTATCTGATGCAGAGGGATCCGAGACAAATGATGTTGAGCTGTCAGATTGTACCTTGATGGCGCTGAAATACCATGAGTTGGCAGATCAGCGCAAAGGTGAGAATTGATTGTGATATGTTCCTTATTGGGGCCGTTTTGAGTGTGCTTCAGTCTTTTGGCCATAACTTTGGCTACGCTCCATGTGGCCTTTTTTTCGACTTCAAATTCTGCCGTTTTTCCCTCCGAATCACTAGATTTAGATATTTTTTACTATTTATGGTAATATTTCGATTGTCAATTAGGAAGTCTTTTTAAATCCGATTTCGGCCGGATTTTTTGCAAATTGCTTATTTTATTTTAAATTTCAATTTAGAGTGATTTTCGGGATTTTGCTATTTTTTGTAAAATTCCGATAAACAAGATTTTTGACTATAACAGTCCGGCTTGTGAATTGATTTTGGATAGTTTTGATTTTATAATATTTTATTAAACTCTAGAGACTTTTTTCTCTGATTTTTGCGCGAATTTTCTCTTGTGAATCATCTGTTGGAACTAGCCTGCAGGATAATAGTAGATGAAATAATGTCATATATACGATGAGAGCCCGAAGGTCAAGTGTTTCAAAAAATTTCGTAAAAGAATAGATGAATCTGGAGATAAAATAAGATTAATTTTGATCTTAAGAGTTATGAGATAAAAATGGTTTTAAATTTTATACTCTAATAAGACAAAAAGAAAAAGAAAAACATTCACCCCACCAAATTGACATTCCTAATAAAGATGATGCGTTGAATCGGATACACGGAACAACCAAGAGGGGCGTTTGTTCGTATGCGTGAAAAAGACCCCCTCACGACCACTTGATGTTAACTTTGATTGTGCTCAACCTCCTCCCTTTTTTCCATAAGGTTCTGTCTCCAACTTCACTGCACTCCTATTTTAAATTTATTCATTCCTTTATCAAAAAAAAAAAAGTTTATCCATTCCTTGTCAATATGTATCTTTGCAAAATAAACAGCAATTTTATGGGAATAAATCTCTCTTAAAAATTAACTAAAAGATCGGCCCTCCCTTTCACACGGGAGCTTTACTCTGGTTCATGAAAATGAATTATTTTACTAGGTAGCAGAGATTTTACAGTAATAATAAATTAAAGTGATTGAAACAAATAAGTTAAAATTTGAATGATTTAATTAATTTTTTAATTAAAATAAATAATTGAGTAATAGATGATATAATTTATTATAATATTAAAATAGCTACATAAGGATCAATTTTGAATAGGCTAATAGGGGTGTTCCATTCGCCAAAATATTACTATAAAAAATAATATTTTTCGAAATCACATACTCGGTGATTTTCCCGGTATATCATCGGTGATCGGTATTATTATCGATCTAACACCGGTCAGATTAAATTTTTCGATCTAACACGCTTAGCAGGAAAGCGCGCCCCCTGAACCGCGCTATATGCTGATTTGACGCCACGTGGAGGAAAACGCACCCCTTGAACCGCGCTATACGCTGACTGGGTACACGTGGGGTATAGCGCGCCCCCTGATACGCGCTATACGACACGTAGGGGTATAGCGCGAATCAGGGGCCGCGCTATACGCCGTACCAAAATTATATTTAACGCGGTCCCTGATCCGCGCTATATCTTTTAAAATACTCTCATCCGACTCACATCTCCTCGCATCTCTCCTCTCTTATAAATTAATACAACAATTCCATCAACGAGTAATAATTCTCGTAATCTTCTCAAATTTAATTTAGAAGCTCGTGTGATTTTTCGTTATAAGGTAATTTTGTTATAATTTTTTAATTATACTTATTGTTTATTATCATTAATTGAATTATACTAATTATTTTCAATTAATTTTTATGTTTGTAAAATTGAAAAGCGTGAGCATACGTCGAAATAGTTTTGCGGTGCAGGTAATAATATAAAATTATATTATTTAAATTATTTACGTTGATGTGTAAAAAAATTATTGTGTTATATTTTCGTTCATATATAATTTATTTAATCAGGTTTGTTTAAGTTATTTTTTGCAGATATAATATTGTCGCACTTTTAAACTCAAAGAATGGCGCGACTTTCAGCTATTGTTTATTATGATGGTGAAATTCGAGAAGATGAAACCGGCGTTGTTTTCGTATCAAATGAGCGTGTTAAAATATCATTCAAAAGAAACATATCTCTTGAGGAGCTAATAATGAAGATTTCGAGGAAGATTCTTGTTGGAAGTAACAGAAGAATGTCGTCGTTGCAGTACAGATTTCCAACATCATTGTTGCCATTAACTTATACAACATTCAAACTTTCGAACAATGATGATGTTCAAATGATGGTTGAAGCTCAAAGTAATTATTCAGACGCCGCTATTGAGATGTATGCACATTTTGTTCAAGTGCGTGTTGTTCAGGGTCAATCTTTAAGCTCACACTATGGGCTGGCTGAACAAGTTGATCAAGTTGTCAGCCCGACTACAATAATGTGCAATGATTTTAATGCCATAATGGTGATATATTCATCCGCAACTCCTTACGATATGTACTGAGGTGGGTCAATGAACAATACATATGGCAACACCGCGTCCAGTTCAAGGGGAAGGCATTCATCTGC